CAAAGAAGCCGCTACTTTATAGTAGAAGCGACAACGCCGCTTCGTCTGAAATATTTTAGGCGTGTAGGTCATATTGATTTATGCATACTGTGAAATTTTCAGGTTGATCCGTTGAATAGTTTGTCAGAAACGGCTAATTAACGCTCATCATGAAAAGCCCTGTATTAATAGATTTGTTCGAAATTTAATTCCGCAGGAAATTTGCGCTTGAGAAATCAGTAAAAAACATCCTCTTTTTTTTGTCATTTCAACCTGTACTAATTTTTTTTTGCAAATAGCCAAAAAGCTTTTTTAAAAATTTTGAAAAATGCTAAAAAACAGCTGCAATCTTATACCTTTTCTTCAAATTTAAACTCGTTATTGTCACTTCAATTTTTCCATTTTTTTACGAGACTATAACTATAAAGGAAGGCGAGAGAAATTTGAAAAAAAACAATTCAAAAGAAGAAATTAACATCAATAAAGTTTGGCTACCTGCACTAGATTACACTCATGAAAAGAGTGTAATCTAGTGCAATGAACAAAACCTCAGATAAAACCACCGACTAGTTAACCTGAGCATTTTGTCTAGCGCAACCGTAGATGAAACGTAAGTCATAAAAACCTGCAGATCACGGTCGACAAACTCGAAAAATGGTTCTGAAAAGAATGTTCTCATCAAGACAATCTCGTGTATATGTATTATTTTTATGTAATATCTCAACTTGAGATAAGAGACATAAGCACCACAGGAACACGAGACAAAAACCTATACGGTAACGTTAAAAAAATTGCATTTCATACTCACACTTTCCAGTGCACTCTCTGGGTAGAATTTGCATGGCCTAAGAAACCTCACCAGCCATATATCATTATCCAATGGTATGTGCAAGTCTTTCTCCTCTGAAACATTGATACAAATTAGAATAAAGAGAGAATAGCAGTGGGTTTCATTTTGAGCCGTGTGGAACTCCTGAGATATTTCAATTTTCTTAGTGGAGACGGCCAAAAAACTACGAAACTATTTCGTGAAAACCCTCACCCTTCAAAAGATCCCTGAGGGCTACTATGGCGTCCCTTTTAACGTCTGGCGTTTCCCGGAGTTCTTTCCTGGCGATTTCCTGGACTTCGGGTTTCAAATCTTCCAATTCGATTTGTAGGGTGTAATCTCCCAGTTTGACGGTCGGCAGCTCGTCCATTTGGGACAGCAAAGTTGCAGCAACTAAAAAAAAAGGAATTAAACCATTGTAAAAGGAAGTAAAATCAACTAAGGATCTATGAATTGTCAAAGCTATTAGGTGGGCTGATAGGATAGCACACAGTATTTAATCCATATGTTTATTATTAATTATGTATTTATCAATAATTTGTAAAGTTTATATGGCATGTTTTTGACCGGGACAACCGGTTGACCTCAACCTTAACTCTTACAGCGTGCACTCCGCCCTCTATCTCGAAATTATAGGAAATTTTGTCCTCTTCAATATTGATAATGTATACAAATAGCGAAAAACCCATAGCAAAAGAGGTATTTGCAAAAAATGTGCAAGAAATCAATTGATGACCTTAACTTTTAATGGTCGCGCTTATACGAGTTTATGGCTGGATATCTCAAATTATGTGGTGAACTTACTGAGATAACTGGACTATAATAGTTGGAAAATCACACAGTCCTGAAGCAGAAATTCGCTAAAGAAAAAACGTAACAAACTGGAAGATGTTTGCGAAAACGGTAAAAAATAACATGTTTATTGTATATCAAAAACAAGTTTCGTTTCATCAAAGACGTCATTGGGAATTAGTCTTTAGGAGTGGTTTACCTTTAGTAATTTGCCAATCAATGATAAACCAAGAAGGTTTCTTTGGAGTCAGTTTTGTTTCTATATTCATTAAAAAAATAGCTTGTTTATCGGAGCTTGTTTATGAAGTAAGCTGTAAGGTGTGTGACAAAAAGTATATCGCTCAGACTGAACGAGCTACTGAAACTCGTTTTAAAGAACGTGTAGTACGTTTTCTACACACATCGGAAAAGTCTAGGGATATTTTTGTTTGTTAAATGTCATCAAAATTATTTTCGTTTACGGATTATATAATACTGGCATGATGATATATGATGGTACTGGCATTTCCATAACAAATTTTATTTGAAACATGTTTTGAATGAACAATTAAGTAGAATACAAAATTACTACTACGAAACAGGTACAATATTGAAATTTTTTGTAAAAACTAATTACATAAATGCTTTATTCTGGAAAAACATGTTGATTTAGAAAGCAGAAATTATTACAATGTCATTTCTAGTGAAATATTCAGTATGTACAAACGTTGATCACTGATATTTTATGAAAACAAGTGCAATAAGGACTAACGAGGGCTTACCTTTTAACGTGTGGTTCTCACTACTTTTTATATTGATATTTTAGATTTAATCATGAATTTTAGAATTATGTTATATATTTTTTCATTTAGTGCAGCTGAAAGCACTGTTACATTAGTTGGAAACGAAACAACTTTCTTGAAGTTTTTCCTATATACATGATCCACATGTTAGACCCCTGATTTGTTATTTTTGTCACTTTTTGACTTGTTATGCTTTATATGCATACCCAACGAGTTATCAATTTTATATGTTATATTAATGTTCTCTTTTTCAGGATTCTCTTTATTTTATACAATATGTAGGAAGGAATATTACTGTTGAAGAAATATTCTTTACTACACCAAAAGTTCCACAGAGTGCATCACAAGTATATAGGAAGGACTTCCAGAAATTTCAAAACAAGAATCTACGAACATAAAAGAAATTTTGAGCTGAAGAAAACTAATTTCACCTATGCTTGCCACCTTTTAAAGGACAACCNCTCTTTATCCTTGGAAAGAAAAAAATTGCACGGAAACGAATGAGAGGAGTAAATATGGTGACACTTCATTATAATTGTTACTCAAACACATTTTGAAGTAGGACAACAATGTCTTAGTGGTTCTAGGCATATAAGTGTGTTTGTTTTATTCCGCAATGCAGTTTTTCTATTAGCGGAAATGCAAGTTGTGGAAAAATAATGAAACTCAAAATGATTAGTTTGAAAATTTAAATAAAACACGCTTCAATAGCAACACGAACTAAAAAATGAAACATTTTTCAAACGTATTCACTAAACAGTTTTACAAAAAGGCAACACGTGTTTCGCCTTACAGTGGCTTCTTCAGGTGTGTCTTTAAAGACAGCCGTATAGACCTCTATTTAAAAAATTTAATATATTAACCGTTACGGCTCTAAACATATTTCAATGTCTTGTTTATATGGTTTATATGTACCTCATATATGGTAAAAACCATATATGAGGAAATTACATATGATTGAATTCAAAAAAAGTATAAAAGGGTTGCTGATTGATCTTTGCCCTTGAGTAAGTGAATTTTTTCACTGCAAGTTTTAATGTTTGCCTTTCAATGTGTATGTTTTGTGTAATATTCATCTACCTTGCCGATGCTAAATCTGTTGTATTGATAATAAGCAAATAAATTGATTGACTGATCGATTGAAGACACTTGAGTGAGGTTTTTGTTACGTTTTTATTGTCCTTCCATAAATGAAGGGCGAAAAAACTCTATTTCCTCTTCAGAAACTAACATTTGTTCAATATTCGGTACGTATTAATGTTTCTTTGTATAATTTACTATCTTTATTGAATCTAACGTATTAGCAATGTTTTCAATTCAGGCTAATGAAGAAGAGAGTACAGAAGAAGAAGATAAATATAAATGAATCATCAAAATGAAACTAATACGTAAGGAAACGTACTATAAATTCAGCAGCCTAAATTCCCTTGGCAGATGTAACTTTTGTTCTGAAAATTTTCGCCAAAAATAAATACATTTAAAAATAAAAAAAAAAACACGTTTCAATAGCAACACGAACTAAAAAATGAAACATTTTTCAAACGTATTCACTAAACAGTTTTACAAAAAGGCAACACGTGTTTCGCCTTACAGTGGCTTCTTCAGGTGTGTCTTTAAAGACAGCCGTATAGACCTCTATTTAAAAAATTTAATATATTAACCGTTACGTCTCTAAACATATTTCAATGTCTTGTTTATATGGTTTTTACTATGGCCATAACGCCATAGTAAAAACCACCATATATGAGGAAATTACATATGATTAAATTCAAAAAAAGTATAAAAGGGCTGGTGATTGATCTTTGCCCTTAAGTAAGTGAATTTTTTCACTGCAAGTTTCAATGTTTGCCTTTTAATGTGTATATTTTATATTTTTCTACCTGGACAATGCTAAATCTGTTGTATTGATAATAAGCAAATAAATTGATTGACTGATTCATTGAAGACACTTGAGTAAGGTTTTTGTCACGATTTTTTTCGTCCTTCCATAAATGAAGTTCGAAAAAACTCTATTTCCACCACAGAAACTAACATTTGTTCAATATTCGGTACGTATTAATGTTTCTTTTTATAATTTACTATCTTTATTGAATCTAACGTATTAGCAATGTTTTCAATTCAGGCTAATGAAGAAGAGAGTACAGAAGAAGAAGATAAATATAAATGAATCATCAAAATGAAACTAATACGTAAGGAAACGTACTATAAATTCAGTATGAAGTTAGCAGCCTAAATTCCCTTGGCAGATGTAACTTTTGTTCTGAAAATTTTCGCCAAAAATAAATACATTTAAAAATAAAAAAAAAAACACGTTTCAATAGCAACACGAACTAAAAAATGAAACATTTTTCAAACGTATTCACTAAACAGTTTTACAAAAAGGCAACACGTGCTGGAACTGCAGCATTGTCTGGCGAGAAATTGAAAAGGAAAAAATACCAAAATCTTGGAAACAACTATCTGTTCCATCCAGTAGCGGTTGAAACTTTTGGTGTTTATGGCCCGGAGTCTCTGTTATTCGTTCATGAATATTTAGCAAATCTTCTGGAGCANTATTGTCAAATTTATATGACTATCAGGAAAACAGGGTATGTCACCTGTTGCTTTCAGACAGTAAGTAAAACTCAAAAATAGACAGTATAAACGTCAACAACATAAACTAAGATAGAAAAATTATATATGATCCATTTTCTGATATAATTGATTATTTAGGATATTTTTTTATGGACAAATTAGGAGTCCATCTCGTCTAACAAAAAGAATATAAACATATGCTCTGATGATCACAAAATATTATTGAAGATTGTAGCAAAATAATAATAATATTAAATGCCAGTCCAATTGATGAAATATACTCATCATCAATATTGTAACTTTTTCAGTGCTTGTGAAAAAAATTGTTATACAAATTTTATGTACCCCCTGTTAGGGGCTGTATCTTAACAGGAATGCTCCAATGAAGTTTCTTTATATGAAAGATCCTATCTTTTTTTCGATGAGGATTCACCTCCTTGAATTTTTTACACTTATTCAGTTACACCCCGTATAAATTTTCCCCAAAAATGATTTTACTATAATCGAGAACGTGTGGGACGCAATATCAATTTGAGGAGTGAGGTGATCAACTATTACGGAATACCAAAGAAGGAAGAAACCTCGAAATTTAACCTTGTCCCAAAGAAATTATTCAACTAATAAGAAATATCTATTGAAAACAACGCTTGAAAGTCGAAAGTCTTTCACAATGTAAAACCCGTTGAGAGTTTTTGAATTAATTTTGAATAATACTCTGAAAATATGTTTGAAGCACCTGAAATTTCCTAACTGGAGATACGAGTGGCTATTGAATTTCAATACATTGCTGGGACTAATTGGTCCAGTAACCTTAGTCAAAATTTGGTGCGTACCTTGGAATTTGAGATACCAAGCTATGAACTTGTATAAACTTGTATTTTGACGTCCTAAAAGTTGTCTCGAAACCTACATGTGGTAGGGTGTAGGCAACTATTGAAATCTAAGGTCAATGGTCACATAAATCTTTTTTTTTTTATATATTTTTTGGAAATATTCCGTTTCCAATTGGTTTTTTGCATTTTGTATTCATTATGAATATTGTAGAGGATTGAATTCTCATTTTTTATACGTTGAATTGTTTTCGAGATAGAGGACAGAGAGCGCGCAATTAGAGCATCATTTAAGGTCAATCTGTAGTCCCGGTCAAAAACAAGCCATATAAAGTTTAATAATTGTTGGTGAACACGTAATTATTATTTATTTATATTTCTCGTGATGAATTTTTACTGTAGCTATAATAGAAGAAGATATTGATTTACTTGTTATTTTAATGTGGTGTACAGTATATACTTTCTCAT